TGCGTGTGTGAGTCGGGGACAGAACAGCAGAAACGCTGAAGGCCGCTACTGAAGCATCCTGGTCTTCCATAACACCACAGCAGTGCCACAGGCTGATAGCATCCATACCACGTCGCATTCAAGCAGTAATTGATGCAAAAGGGGCCCAAACCAAGTACTGAGTACATATGCATGCTTATACTTTTCAGAGGTCCGATATTGTTCTATGTACAATCCTTGTTTTATTATTATTATTTATTTTATTTTATTTTATATTTTATTTTATCTTATACATCCAACAAACATTAAATCTCTACCGGTCTACATCACAACGCGAGAAAGAAATAAACTTGTCCCATAGGATAATGTACAAAAGTCTATTACATATACCAATTGATATACTTATTCAATATCTCTATTTATAGCTCAATTTGACATCCAATTATACCATTGATTCCAAGATATATAATAATCTGTGTCCCCCCGTCCTTTCAGTAACATAGTAAGTCGATCTGATTCCGCACAATTCATTATTTTCTGAATTACTACTTGTTTGGGTAGGCTAACATCCATCTTCCAGGATTGGGCCCATGCCAATATTGCAGTTGTTGTTATATGCAGCAGCAGGTACCATGCTGTTCTATTAAGATTTTCGGGTCTTATCCCTAATAAAAATACCTCAGGATGCAATTGTATATGTTGCCCCAACATTTCATTGAGCAACTTCAGAATATTCTTCCAAAATTTCATTGCCTCTCGCCAGGTCCACCATTTGTGGAAATATGTGCTTTCTTTAATGCCACATTTCCAACAGACTGAGGGTGTTCCAGGGAACAATTTTGCGAGTCTGGCCGGCGGTAAATGCCATCAATATGCCATTTTATATATATTTTCTTTATATCCTATTGACCGGGTTAATTTCATATTCTTAGTCCAAATTTCGCTCCACCTCTCAGGCTCTATTGAATAACCTAAATTCTTCTCCCAGGCATGAACCGAATTCTTCGCACCTTCCTCACCTACCTCCATAGCCATAAAGAATTTATAACATTTAGATAACACTTTTTCCTCCACCCCCAATAATATTCTATCCAAAATCTGCACCTCTCGGCTAATCCTAAATCTCTTACTATCTCTCAAATACTTACTGCTAATTTGCATGTACCTCCACCAGTCTAGGTCCACTCCTTGTTCCTGAAGTAACAATTTAGTTTTTAATTTCTCATTCATATCTAATATTTCTTTGTAAGTCAATTTTTTCTCTGGATTATACAGACTCGGATAGATCACAACTTCCATAGGTGAAACCCAGAATGGTACCTTATTATAATATGTTTTCCTAATTTCCATCCAACTCTCAATCAGGACTCCTCGCACATGATATTTTGTAAAATATGCTGGGGGTTTGCCTCTCTCCCACCATAAGTGGGCATGCCATCCCTGTTGGAGATCATGACCTTCGATTGCTAACAGACGTCTCCTTTGTAGTGTAATCCACTCACAGATCCAAACCAAAACCACCCAATTATAGTAATACTTCCAATTTGGGACCCCCAACCCACCTTGTTCTTTTGGTTTCTGCATTGTTTTCAACTTAATTCGAGGCTTCTTGCCCTGCCAAATAAATCTATTTGTAGCCCTGTCCAGGTTCCTAAAAAAGGTTTTATCTAGTCTAACTGGGGCCGTTTGAAAGAGAAATACCATTCTGGGCAGTACATGGGTCTTAATTAAGGCTATCCATCCCATTAATGACAATTGTATCTTGCCCCATTTCTCCAAATCTTTGTCTAGTTGCTCAGTTAATTTTAGATAGTTATCTGCCTTTATTGAGGAGCATCTATCAGACAGCCAAATCCCTAAATATTTGACTTTACGAACTACCTGGAGGCCCAAAGTGTTTTGTAATTCTATTTTTTTTATTTCCATCATGTTTTTAACTATTTGTTTTTTTCCTATTTATTTGTAATCCAGCCACCTCACCAAATTTCTGTATTATGTCAATAAGTCGCCCTCCAGAGATTAATGGCTCTTCCAGAACAAATACCAGGTTGTCCGCAAACACCTGGACCTTGTATTTTTGTTCTCTGATCTTCAATCCTCTTATACTCACCTTTTGTCTTATTGATCTAAGTAAAGGTTCTAGCATGAATATAAACAGCAATGGGAGAGTTGACAGCCTTGTCTCGTTCCCTTCGCTATCATCACCTCCTCCAACTCTTCTCCATTAACTAAAATCTTGGCCTTCCGTTGACTATAAATTGCCTGGATTGCATTTATGAAGTGATCACCAGCCTCCATATATTTCTATTGTGATATAAGATAATTCCAATTGACCCTATCGAAGGCTTTCTGGGCATCCAAAAAGAGGAACGCCGCCTGCTTCTCAGGGTGAGCCTCGTAATATTCCAGGACACCCATTATGATCTGTACATTATCTTTCAACTGTCTGGCCGGTAGAAAACCATTTTGATCTATATGGATGAATTCGCTAAGGTATCTCTTAAATCTAGCTGCCATTACAGCTGCAAAAATTTTATAGTCGGCGTTTAAAAATGAGATGGGCCTATAGTTATGTATCAGTGTGGTCCCCCCCTTCCTTCAATATTAAAGAAATATAGGCCTCTAGCCATGATTTGGGAGCCTTAGACTCCATCAATACCATATTAAAAATTTCTTTCGTATATTTTATGTATAGATCTGTAAAGGTTTTATAAATCTCTGCAGGCAGGCCATCAGTACCAGGGGTTTTACCGGCCTTCTGCCTCTTGATCGCAATCTCTATCTCTCCTTCCGTAATCTCCTTACTCAACAGGTCCTTGACTGAATCTGGAAATTTGGGAAGATCCAAAACAATCCTTGTTTTATTGATTTCATGTAATATTCTAATTTTCTGAGATTGTGAATTTGGGGTTTTCATGAGCTGTAAGCCAATCATCAAACTTATGACAAATCAAGGCTTGAACTATCTTGCTTTCCATGTAATGAGTCTATCTCATATATTAGTTTTACCTTTTAAATTGTATTGCTGAAATAAATGAACTTTTGCACGATATTCTAATTTTTTTGTTTCACCTGTATATTCAAAATTATACATGTTCTCTTTCTTATTCTAACATATCTCTTATGCCTATATTCCTAATACCTCGTCTCTATGTGATCTCTTCATCTACATGTTTAATTTACTATTAACCTAAATTGGTACTTAATCTCCTCTGTATAATTTATATCTTCTCATTTATTTCCATATCTTTTTTCCTTTTTCTCCTCCAACCAATCATACAATTTCTCCCATACTAGATAATAATCCATTTCCTCCTTTTCTTGTATCTCCTTTGTAAGCTTGTCCATTTCCGCACATTCCATAATTTTACTAATCACTTTATCTTCTGTTGGTATATCACTATTTTTCCAATTTTGGGTGAAGACTATTTGTGCAGATGTCAATATGTGGATGATTAAATATTTTATTTCTTTTTCATATTGTCCGGTAATTATTCCTAATAAGAAGATTTCTGGCCTCATTTCTATTTTTTGTTTTATAATTTCTTCTATATGTATTCTAATTGTTTGCCAAAATTGTTTTGCTTTCTGGCAGGACCACCACATGTGGTAATAGGTTCCTTTTTGGTGTTTGCATTTCCAGCATGTTGGGGAGGTGTTCGGGAACATCTTTGCTAGTCTGGCAGGAGGAAGGTGCCACCTATAAAACATTTTGTACATGTTTTCTTTATAGGGTACAGACATTGTTAGTTTATAATTTGTATTCCATAATTTTTCCCATTTTTCTAATTCAATATTATATCTGAAATTTTTCGCCCAAATTATCATGTTTTCTTTGACCACTTCTAATTTATATTAGAAGATATGCTCTTCTTAACAACCTGTATGGTCATTTAACAATTGGATCAGGGAGAGCAGGGATTGGGATCATTGAGCAAAGCAATTGATCCTCTCACTTAATGATTGTCACAACTTGTAATGCAAACTCCATTATGGTCATAGGTCAAGGACGTGTGTGTGTGTGTGTGTGTCTGTGTGTGTTTGCATGTAACATCTGCCATGGTAGAAAGTGCCTTACTTGCCATAAAGTAACCTTTCTGAGGCTATCATTATAATTGAATTGTTAAATGAATGGTCATAAGTCGAGGACTCACACGCTAACAACCAGCAAACTAATGTGCTGAAGCTGACCAGGCTAAGGACACTAGCTAGATGAATACCTGGTAGGCAGAGGCAGAATTTTTTCCCCCTATTTTCTTCCCCAAAAACTAAAGTGTGTCTTATACTCCGGAGTGTCTTATACTCTGAAAAATACGGTACTTTTCAGAACTTCTGCCAGTTGTGAAAGAATGATATACTGCTCTCCTAATGGAATATGATATTGAAACATGTGCTTTATAACCAATGAACACTTGCCATCAACAATGGTGATTATCTACATGCAGGCTTAAATTTGTAAAGGAGTGAGGGAGAAAATAGGCAGGGAGTTGTATCCACGCAAAATACACAAAAAGGTTACAAGACAAGGAATTTTCAACTTAGAAAAAAGCCAAAGAGGATAAATGTTATGCCTGAAGAAAATAAATACGTAATATCTGAGATTATCTAATAAAACTGAAAAGTGGAAATTAATGAGAAGCAAAAGCTAAGCTTTTCATGAAAAATAAACTGTGAATTTCATTTCCACAAACAACAAAATAATTCTATTGGGATTGATGACTATGGTTAACTATGTTTTGAAGGAAAGGCAATAATTAGTTGTATATATACGAATCATTGCTGTATGATTTGGGAAATATGTGGCAAAATATATTCAGTTGGAAATTCAATGGTTTACACTTTGGATGTTACACATTCAGCAAACAAGAAGTCCATGACCTCTTGGCCTTTACGTATTTGCACACACTAAACAAACCAAAAAGAAAATATGTATTATAACATGAGTTAGAATATGTTTCTACTTGTGTTGGTATAATACTGACTACAATTCAAAGAATAGTCAAAAAAACAGACAAGAAAACTTTGTGTTGTCAATTTAATATACTTTACTTGAAGATTTTGCATTTATTTTTACATTTCAATGTTAAAAAGTTTATAAAAGTAAAGCCGAGAACGGTGCCTAAAATATATGAAGGCATATTTTCTTTCAAAATGCTTTTCATCTAATTAAAATAATAAAAAAAATATTCCTGAATTTGAAATGTTTTGATAGTAGTTTTTCATACTGATACTTATCTTCAACTATATTATATACATGGTTTTTGACCTTACAAACAGAAAAATATCCAGTTCCATATCTGTGTCTCAAAAATCAAATCTAAACATCTCATTTTTTAATCAACAATTCATCTACATTGTAGTACTTAAATATAAAATCTATTTAACAAGCAATACTAATCCTTTACACACATCTGGTGTTAAACTCAACTAAGGAAGGTTTGTTTTCAACAATCATTTAAAGGATTGTGCTCTAAGTATCTGCATTTCTGTGAGCATGAAAATAAACTGCAATGTTTTAATACCCCACATAACTGACAGAAACCATGATATCAAATGTATAACATCAATTCATTATCATGAATTACATAATTTGAATAATTTGTTTGTTGTTATGATGTGTGTGATATCACTTTCCCCTTGCTTCCCGATGATGTCCATTTGTTACACCAAGGAATCCTGCTTTAAAATTGACAGGAAGGTGAACACATTTGCATGTCTTCTTCAACCTTTTGCCTGTCAATAGACTATTTCCATGACACAAAGAAGTATGACAAGCCACACAGGTCTGTATTATCACATTTCTGAACATCTTTTCTTAAACGTTCAAATCTTTCATCAAACTTTCCTAAAATCTTTATAATTAGCAGATTTGATGACATCTACTAATAAAAGACACCTAAGTAATGTAGAGATATGTATATAATTATCCAAGCAGCTCATCAATAATTTTGTAATATACAATATTTCAAAAGTGATAATATAAAACAAGTTCATATCTAGGCATAAATGTTATTGTTTCATACAGTACATTTCTACACTTCTTTAACAAAACTATTTGTAATAAATGTTCACAGAATTTCAGCATTGTCATGATTGCAGAATGTAGATATAATATAGCAAGCACACTCTAAAATAACATGTTGATGTAAGAAATATTGGAAGAGCAGAACATATGTAGTTTAATCCATGATGTTTCGTTGCAAACTGATCTAGCCTCTCTTAGTTGAATGAGAAACAGAGTTTTTAAACAGCAGTAACCATGTTCCATCAATTTATGCAGCTTTGAAAAGAAACAGTAGTTGAAGCAGTTTTAGATGGATGATGTTCTTATTCAAAAAGCAGGACATGACTGAAGAACAAAGTACAATCTTTTATCTCACGTAGCGCTCCACTGAAAGTGCCATTTTCAGTTTAAGGGAACTTTTATTGCAATTAGCCAAAAATCATAAATGGATTTTGATATAAAAGTTACTTAATTAGGACAGAACCATTCTGATATTATTCATTTATTTAATATGCTGCCATCTCATATTAAGAGTTCTAATGGTTTAATTCTAAGAGTTGCATTTAACAGAACAGAGAGAACAATTCTAGGTTAAACAGCATAATATATAAGGCCCATTAAGCACAGACACCAAGCTCTGAATGTATTAGATGCTACGATTCTTCCTTACATCACACTGGAGAGTTCAGATCCATTCTTAGTCTTGGAAGATAGTCTCAGAAAGGTACGCATGACTTTCTCCCATTCACAGCACACTCAGTAGTAGCAATATTTGGGATGGAACATCTTTTCAATCAAAGGCAAGTGAATCTTTGGCTGGGTCTGTGATACATAATCACACTTTTTTGTAGGTTGTTTGATTTCATAGGCAAAGTTTCACTTATTGATTTTTATAGCAGTGGTAATCCATGTTATTTTCAGGCCAAATTCTAACAACTTTTTTTTTCAACTGTGAGAATAATTTTCTGATTCATCAAACTTTGTGGAAGGCTACAATTATATTACATTGCTTTCAATTTGGACTGATGGCATGGAAGCAGAGATAAGACAGCTAATGACCAGAATAAAATAATTTTAAAAACCGGTCAATGCCAATATTTTTAATATTATATTACTGTACACCAAGAGTTTTATAAACATCGATGTACCTCAGGTTTAATCAGTATGTGCTCTTAGAAGGAATCTCTGAACATGTTGAGTCCTTGCTGAACTAGAGACATCCAATTCATATTTTTTAAAATCATCAATGGCTCCAGTTTCTAATAATTAACACATAATAGGCTTCATCAATATTCCACTTTCACTTCTCACCCTTCTTTTAATTTATAATAAGAGAACAAAAAGAAACTAAGACGTGACAATAACAATTCTTACCTTAATCCCCAATTTTTCTCTAAAACTTTATATACAAGCAGTGGTCTAGCATTTATTGTAGTATGATTTGTTATTGAAATTAAAGCATGGATCATTCACGGACTGATGCTTTTGAATGTCAGCTCAGTATATGGAATGTGCTGTTTAATTTGTAGTTCAACAATTAGGCTATTCTTTTATACCGCCTCTTCTGCTGTGCTAACAACATCAGTGTTAACAGATAGTGATTATCCTCAATCAAATGTCTTTTGCTCAATAGTTTGTCTAAAAACACAAAAGATGTTTTTTTCCTTGGCACCCCCATTCAACAAATGTAGAATTATTTAATCATTGTCACAATTTTATTTTTATATTCAGAGTTATAAAAGCTAAAATTTATCAGTTATCATGGACTCATTTCTAAGAACTACATAAAAGAAAAAGGAAAAAAGAAAACAATAAAGCTAATTAAATCTAACTAATTTCCCACATCTTTTATATTGTACTGTTCTATAAATTTTACTCTATTTAAACTTTTCAAGTTCACCTATGTTCTTTTCAAAGACAAGATCTAAAAGATACTACATCCAACAAGCTTTGTCTCTTTAGTGGCAAAATACAAATATTATATTATGCAGCTCGTTCAGGTGATTTGTTTAAAATCCTGTCTACCTTTTAGCCTAATAAGATTAGCAGCTCACAATCTATAATGAACATTTTTAAAAAATGAAAACAATAATGCAAGAGTCCAGATCTCCTATACTTACAATTTTAAGACTACATACTACATTTTATTTTAGCTCCAAGTAACGGAGATCCATTTCAATAACATATATCATTAAAATAGCAATGCAGACATACAATAAGGTGGAAATAAATGATGACCCTATCAACTGGGTTTGAGTGCAGTTACTAACCATGTGTCTTCATTAAATCAGCCAGTTACTAAGCAAGAACCTGAGACTGCAATTTTTTTGTAACTTTAAACACATTTACTCCCCAGTAAATCTCACTGGTTTAGATGGGAAGGGTTTCAAGAGAAATTCTGCTTAGGGACGCAATCCTCAAACTGTAACCATCTAATAAATTGCATTGTAATCCTGTAGAAAAGCCAGATGATTGAAAATCCTCAGGTTTAATTCTAGGTCTTGAAAACTCAAGGCAGTTGAGCTAGAGCAGGGGTGTCAAACTCGCATCATCACATCATCATGTGATGTTTCACGACTTTTTTCCCCTTCACTAAACCAGGGGTGGGTGTGGCCAGCACATGACACATCTGGGCCGCGGGCCATGAGTTTGACACCCTTGAGCTAGAGAAATAGCATCATTAGGATAATTCTATCAACATTTACACCGTTAAGTGAGTCAGCCAGCTCTGTTAGACACTAGCACATTCTATCATTTTGGAATCACCTCTGTGGAGTGCAGAAAACCTGATACACATAGAATTGTTCTTTATTCATAACTGCAATTGCAATTCACTAGAATGTGATTTCTCAAGAATTCTGAAATCACTTACTCAAGTGAATGAGGAAATAGAATATAGATATAATCACTGAAGCACCCATGGCCTGGAATTATGTGCAGAACTTTCTCATTCTCTTGCCTGAGGAAGGCAGCAGATTCCTCACTATGTGAACATTAATGCCTTGCTCAGAAAAAGAGAAACAAGAGGCCTATGAATATAGAGTTCCACATGGGCTCAGAAACTTAACGATCAAGCCGCTTTATAAAATTCCTATTGATATACTCTAAAACTAACAACTTCTGTAGTTCAAATAAAAGTAAATATAATTTAACTTCAGACAAAAAACTACTGATCATGTATATTTGCATTTCCAAAATATTAAGAACATAAAAATATGATTATGTAACAAAATAAAATTAAATGATGTATGTACTGACAAAAACATATTTTGATATAACAGAATATATAAACATTTTTTATCACCTTCAAAAAATGAATTTCAAGTTATAATGTTGAACCTATAGAATTTTACTGACTAATGTATTTAATCAATGCATGGTCATATTCTTAGGAGGGCAAACTCAGCCCCAGAAACCAACTTCTTTGCTCATACGGTGAGCATATACAGCAGATGCACACAACTTGAATTGTTTTAGCAGAAGAGGGCAAATAGTCTCTCTGGACTGTAGGCACCTAAAAAGAAATAATTTTAGAGGTGCATTTCAACATGCAAAGAATACTATACAGCAAATAGTAAAAGTGTAACAATATAATTTGATGTTTTAGGTGGTCCTACTCCACTGATATCTTACATCAGAGTGATCATTAAAACAAATACACAAATAGGATTCACATATTTCTTGACTTAGCTCACACAAGTATGATTTACCAAAAAACAACAACAAACAAACGACTGAGCTCATATAATATGCTACAACAAAACCCAACAAACCATTTTATGGATTAGCATAACATGAGGATCTAGTCACTGGCACTGTAAGCAGTTTGAAAAGTAATAGTACATATTTTGTAAAAAGGGGATGCTGATTTCTTATATTCACAAATCAGACATAGGCACCATAATAAGCCATAACGAGATCAATATTGTAAATGCACTATTATGGAAATGTTACAATGTGTACTTTCATCATAACTCACACAAATATTCACATTCTTCGATGACATAATACAATTGTCATTTTCCCCTCAACAATCTCTCCACAGATACGTCTGCAACTGGAAGACATTACCAATGGATAGGAGAAACAATAGATCCTAATAAATCAAAGTTTGTGATGCACAATGCATACCCTTCAAAAATGGAAGTCACTGACTGGAAATGGTCAAGTTAAACCCACCAACATTGGGGTTATGAAGAATATGTTGTCCATGGCATCAGCAGTCAGAGGATTTGTAATCAGTATGAGAGTTGAGAGAAAAGGCTTTATTTAGTCTAGGGTAGTCAGCTTTCAGTTAATTTAGACTGAAAAGTAGAACATCATACCCTGCTGGTAGCTACTGGTTTTTCAATTATTGCTAATTGCTTCTACTCAGGCTTACATCTCTGAAATGAAACTAAATGTTGATTTTGTGTCTATAGCTTTGTATCATTTTTTGTTTCTCCTATGTTCTGATGGTAAATTAGTTCTTCCAGACTGCCAGTTAGCTTCATCTGCCTATATTTCTTCAAGATTTTTCAGTTTGAGTCCTGGTATTTCATCAAACCTATTTGTTCTGTGTTACCCATCTCTAATACTGTTCCCCCCTTCCCACCCCGATTCAGATCTTTCTATCTTGAGTCTCCCAGCACTTCACCACAATTTTAGTCTAATTGTGATGTGACTTGTACTTTCATTTTTCTATATGCTTTTAATTGAAAACATGCTCCTTACATATAAAAGGAAAAGAAACTACACAAATAAGTAGATAATCCACTGCAAATTCTTCTTGAATTTTCTGCACAGTGCATAATGAAAAAAGTATAAATGTGAATAATATGTGAGTATGTACGTTATCAAACATTCCAATCTTGAACTTAGTACTTGAAAGGTTCATTGATTTCAGTAGGTGAAATGTCCACTTGGCAAGTGGAGGACCACAATATTTATATGAATGCAACAGCATAAATAATGAATGACCAGTTCTGAACAAAAGTGCAAATTATATTGACTGAAGGCAAAATACCTATTTTATTACTTATTACTCTGATTTTTTTACTCTGATATTTGCAACTATTGGAATGATTTAGACATGTTCATCAAAATGTAAGCAGGCAGCATAACTTTAAATAAGCATGCTCCTAGAAATTTGCAATTCTAATTTTTATATTCTAAAATTCCACTAGTTTGTAATTAGATAAATATGAAAAAAACCAAACAGACTGCACACTTGAAAAAACAATAAAATAATATTTTCCCTGCAATCCTTTAGAATGTATATTGAAACTATTCAAAAGCTTTTATTTGCTAAATATACAACTGGCTGACTATATTAATTTTTGACAATATAACTAACAATATTATGAACACAATATGCTGAATATCCCGAGAAGGAAGCCAATTGTTGGATGAAAGTCAATATTTATGTTATCAAAACACTCTTCAAAATAAGGTTTTAGAGATTAGTAACCTGCAAAAAAGAAGTTTATTAGCTTTTGGTGAGCTGGCAGAGGAGATTTAAGCTTTGAGTGCCTTCCAGCAACTACTGCTATTCTCTTCCCTACTTGCAGTTCTCTCACCTACATGCTATTTCCTGTTCTTTATAATCAGATGGATGGTTAAATGTAAGGGTATGCTAAGGTCTCCTTAAGTATATCTGAAATTTCTCCATACTAACATACACTGTTTTCTGAAATCCTGACTCTTACTTGTTACATTTAGTTTGTCATTCCCATGTGTGGAACTAAAATTATATCTATACATATTAATTAAGTGAAATATGCTGAAGTGAAATGAATATAAAATAGTTTATGATGATTTAATAAAATATATGTGGTTAATTTATCCTGACATCATGAAGGATAGAAAATTTCTAAATCACTAGCTAAAAGCTTTCAAAACAACAATACTTAACCTTTTTAAACTCAACGTGGTGTGTACTGGATTATTGGATGAATTTATATGCAAAACGATAAAATATAAAAGCCATAAAGAAGATACTGTTAACTGCAAAGATACCTGAGATTGTATCTTTCTGGATTATCCTACATTTTAAAGTAATTGTAATTTCTAGCAGCCAAGAAATCTGAACAATGTAACCTGTGAATAATGTATGCATATTTTATATAAACAAGTAACAAAATACATACATGAGCAGATAACTTTTAGTAAGAGGAATAGGCGTGAAAATGGCTGACAGCAAGCAGAACCAGCTTGAAATATATTGCTCTCTAATAGGTTAAAATAAAAGGTACTAAATATAAATTTCAATGTAATACCTTGCAATAGAATCAAAGACGCTAGAACTCATTACATGTTATCTTAGACTGCAAACTTTGAATTGCTGTGTAAGCATATATTCAGGCCAAGAAAGAAGAATCCTGTTAAAAATGAGACTAGCTAACTGAAACAATTCTCATAAACAAAACAAATATTTTATGGTATGCTGGTGAATAGTATAGCTGGTGCAGGTTACAATGCACACATAACACATGAAAGACTCCTATCATGCTGCAAGAAAATTTTGCTGGACTACTTTTTCTCAGCATTCGATCTATTGTTCTTTAGCCCAAAGAGCTGTACTGTAAATGATGGGCTCCAAATGTGCAGCAAGGTTTTGAGTCACTTCCACCTCAAAACTCCTCAGAGGGTCTTCTGTCACATCCTAAGGAATTATGGTCAGAAATGAGAAGTGAAAAATTCTGCTGGAAACTGCAAGCCCGTTGAGTTTTAGGGCAAGTCCTTTGGGTCAGAGCCAAGGAACTGAACTGGTGGCAGGAGAGATTCTTCTGCAGGTATTCCCTGAGCTAAGTCTATGCCAAACCTAAATGAATAAATATACATAAAGTTGAATAATTTCTATTGCACATAGTTGGTAGCATGAATAGCAGAACAAACATTCTTATATTTCTAAAAATGTATCTTGAAACTAAGAGAAGCAATTAGATGTTCATCTTAGAACTATATGATAAATGTAATAACTAGGATTCATCAGGGAGGGTAGAAACGTAAAGAACACAGGATACTACAATTAACCATATTCAACTATTAATTTATCTAGTCCATACTATTTGTATTAAACCAACTATCCAAGGTTCAAGGTAGGTTTGTCCTTTCTAACTAAATATTAGGAATACAATATTAGATTTTCAGCATTTGGAGCTATGCCTTTTAACAAGTTGTTCCTCAGTAGAATTCTTTGGGTCAGCTTCACTGCATCTCCACAATGTAAAAATTGGAAATATAACAGGCTACTTGCTCATATTTGTGAAGTATGACATACCTACTGTTGCTTAGTCAGAAATAATTTCATTGATATTCCCATAAAACACTAAACTCTCTTAAATTCATTCTGGATTACAATAGTACTAACTAAAAATCAATAATTGTCATGGTGTTACTCTACAGAAGTTCAAGATAAATGCAAAATGTCAGCATAGCAGAGTTTCAGTTTCTGGAAAATGTTTTCCAAACTGTGAGAAATTTCTATAACAGTGCGTTTTGTTTAGTAATTTGGACAACTGTAGTCTTGACAGAGGACATTATATAACAAAAGGATATAACAAAGGGATATTCACATGAGCCTACCTATATTCCACTGAGAACAAATTATTGAGATACACCACCTAGGAAAACAAACCAAATGCAATGCTGAATTTTTGGATTCATGCACCTTTTCACACCTTATATGGCTACAAATAAAACAAATGAGTATTATACAGGAAAATATTGGGGACTTATTCCAGGAATTAATATTCAAAGTATGAAAAAATAGTTCATACAACTTAGTAAACAGGAAAAGATTATTAGATAGCAGAGCAACAATTATAATAGATAAGAGTACAATCCATCAATTAGTTCCAATAGCACCTGTATCTTCTGATTTGTTACAACCATTAATATATTGGCACTGGAGCTATATTAAAGGCAACCAAGTGAGACGTGGATTAAGAATATTTCATCAAATCATGCTACAAAAATAAAATTTCTTTTTAAAATTCTATTTTTTTTTACAAAAGCTCTAAAACATACAGACATATAATGCAAGATTTAAAATATTTGTGCTAACATATCCATGTGACTTATTAACATTGGCTTTCAAATAAAGCAAATGTGAAATTCAAAGCAAAGTAGAGCAATATGGTTTTCCAATATTTTCATATAGAAAAATAAAATCTATTGAATTATATTAAATGTCAGATTGGAAGCAAACTTGAAACAAATGTGAAGGCTATATGGTTGATGCCTGAGTTAATTGCAAGCATGACATACAGGCTTGAATGTCAGCTATGACCACCTCGTTTCTCACAGCATAATCCACTGCATGTTTATTCAGAAGTAAGTCTCAGTAAACTAGATCCTTGTTTACACCACCATACAGTATTTCAGTATAGTACTTCCATTATAATCCCTGTGGATTGTACTCTATTGTCCCAGAGATTTCAAAGGACCAGCTTTAAATATATCTGCAGTTGAATAAAAGCACATTTTGTTCAAAATAATTTACCCACAAGAGAAAAACACACAGGACTGCAGATTTTTGTTTTTATATGTGCTGTGCAGAAATTCACTTGGGATTTAATGGGAGTTCAGTCTCAAATAAGTGGGAATAGTTTGTAATTTATCGAAGAATAAATTCTATGCACAGTTGCGCCTCACTAAATCTAACAGGGCTTATTTTGGAGATATTTCCAGGTTGCTATCTTAGCTTATGTACACATATGTGCATGTGCGAGTAGGCAAAATTAGGTGTTCATATATACGAACACTTATTTTTGTTCTTATTTCATCTTTGAATTTGAAAATGATAAATCTGAAATTCATAATTTCCAAAGTCATAGAAGTGTACTATCAGAAAAGATAAAGATGAAATGTTGTGCAGTCATTGACATAAATTTAGTAGATGATAGGAATGATTGCTACAAATTAATTTCTTTAAAACCACCTGTTCCCTTTACCATATGTATATTATTAATATTTGAAGATTAAGTCACAGACACAATAAAAGTTATCATCTCCCTCTTATGAAGGAAGGAACCTGTGGATTATAATAGCCAGATGTATTTTTTACATTTTCCCCTTAACTTTAGGGTAGAGAGATTCAATAGCTCCATGTCACTCTTTTAAATATTACTTCAATAATATTTCTGAATTCATGATCAAGCAGATAAACAGCAAAACAAACTACCACCATAACTCCCAGAGGAGGGACACGTCAAACTTCAGCACCCAGAAACAGAAATCAAGTCACATTTTGGCAGAGACTCTGAATTCTTCTAATCCATGGTGGCATCGTTCAATGCTAGAAGAAAAAGGCAGCAAAACTGATCAACAGCTTCTTCATCCTGTAGGTTTCCAGATAGACTAACAAACACCAAGCTATAGTGGAATCTATTTAAAGTTTTTGTATCTTGCATTGTATTGACATGCCTAACTACTTTTTTTCCCTTGGAGAGGCAGAGCATCATTTTGAAGAACTACATAATTATGTGAAGTCTTCAAGAAAGTTTTCAAACATACAATGATGCTTTTTACCTTTAACAGTGATCTTATCAAGCTAGTTTGTTCCTCCTTAGGTTAGCCTGATAAAGCCTTACAGTGAATTCATCTCTGTGGAGTTTTGACTGGAGGACACATCAGAATCTGTATTCTCTTTGCATTTCTCCAAGTCATGAAAATAAGGATGGGTTAAGGCATCATAAGCTGATATTCTCTTCATAGGATTGAATGTCAGACATTTCTGTGTAAGATAGAGGAAACAATTAGTAGCGGGCAACACTCTGATGGATCTAGCAACTCACTTTTTCTACTGCTGACCCAATGACTTAACAAGAAAAGACACAGATTTATTAGATAATGATCTTTTTAAAGATATAGTCAAAGCTTTTGTCTATACTGTCATCAGCACTGCTTTAAGAGGAGCAGCATGTAATTAGCCTTGACTTATTGAAAAAAAAAGCTATGCAGAATCAAATCCAGGTAATACTTGAAAGAGAGATCAACAGAAAATCACAGAATCTTAGATTAGATTGGAAAAATAAATAAACAGTGAGAAAAATCAGTAGTAAACTGTTTGAATACAAGTAGTTCTTAATTTACAATCATTTATTTAACAACTGTTTGAAGTTACAATGGTGCTGAGAACAGTGACAATCAGTCCTCACACTTACAACCATCACACGACCAAAATCCAGGTGCTTGGCATACTTACTGGCATGCATTTACAACAGTGGAAGTGTCTTGGGTTCACATGATTGTCATTTATGATTTTCCTTGGAGGCTTCTGACAAGTCAGTAGGGAAAGCAAGATTCACTTAACAACTGTGAGATTCGCTTAATGACTGGAGCAATAAAATCACAAAATTGGGCACAACTCATTTAACAATCATCACTTAGCGATGAAAGTTTCAATCCCAATTGTGATGGCAAGTCAAAGACTGTCTATATTATTATCAGGAAAAGTAGAGACCCATTAAGAATGAAATTCAGCTTGAAGATAACTATACTTCATCATTAACACTATTAATAAATGTATTAAGTAAAATCCTCAACAAGATCAGTTCACATCAGTTTTGAAGTATTAAGTGTTATACTACCAAGAAAAAGATATATATCTGCAATTCTATGCGATATATTTCATTTGCTCACCAGGTTCTTAGATGATTAATATGCATGTACTGTATGAGTAATATTTAGTTTCATGCATTATTGTAATGCTCTACAGTTATTACACAGGTTATTAAATTACAATACATCTTGAATGCACAATTTGATAGTTTATGTTGATTGATATGATCACATTTCTCATTATAAGTACTGCAATTATCCTATCTCAGATTTTTTTTTGGTTAATGTGTAAAATTTGACCTATGAAAAAGAAAACTATTTTGCTGCAAGACTTATTGAATGAATTACAGTGGTAAAATCATGGTGCCACTAATAAAGTATCTAAATCCTGTTAAATTATTTCAATAGAGCATGTCCTCTTTTAAAATATTTCTTACGAAAAAGCAGACATCATCAAAGAATTCCTTCATTTATATTAACAGAAACCAATGGTAATAGCAGCCCAAGGTATGGCATTGATATGGTACATCAGGGGTCTGTTTATAGTCAATCATGATGCAAATTATTTAAGAATGCAAAGAGAATACATTCAGTTATTCATATGAATTTTTTAATATAACTAAGCCTTTTAATTCAAGAAAGGCTCAAAGGACACCATAATCTGATCTTTTTAACACCATCTTTTATTTGGTCTCATATTCTCCAAACTCTAATACTATGGGCTTTTATTGAGGGGAAAGAAAAATTTTCTTTCCCCTCAATAGGAGGTTCTAGCAGGTGAATGCAGTTATTCTGCACCCTTGACTAAAGATCCACTCCTTTGGGATAACACAGCCTAAAGTTACCTTGGCGAGACAGGGGCAGAAAGTTTAATAATAAAAACAAAAAAATAAGTAATTTATTCAGAGTCTCCTTTTTTCTGTTGAAAAGCATTTTGTGATTGCTGGGTATTCTTGGTTTATTCTGTGTAGTGAAGATGAAATTGTGGCTTTAGATTTGAGATTCTTATCTCCTCCCAAAATTTATATTTGAGGATATTTCTTGATATTTCCCAAGCACTTTTGGTTTTTATTTGATGCTGGAGAAGACTCTTCCACATTTTTTCTCAGCTCAGCACAGATAATTATATATATTGCTGACTTTTTTTGTTCTGTGTTAGGCTGTTTATTTCTATTTATTTTACTATGACAGATACTTACAAGTAGCAAGTCTTTGCCCAGTTCATCAATATCTGTTACAAGAAGTTCAATGGGCTGTGGGGATTGAGAAGCAAAAGCATTTCTTGGGAGGGCAACATCAATAGGCCAATCTTCTTCTTCAGGAAGACCAATTACTCTGTATAGAAGATAAGAACAAGCACTTATTCCAGGCAAAATGGGCATTGGTCTTACCTTAAATGCCAGATTTCTTGATGGGGGGTGACATCATCCAGACATGGGTTGTTTCAGTCGGGTCTGCTGCTGGCCGAGTCATAGTTTTTTGACCACACCCCTTGCTCCTCCCTTTCAAGCTCAGTTTCGGTGAAGAAGGGCCACAAGAAGGATCTCCAACAGGAGCCACCACCGTCAGATATAAAAAACTGGTCCAACGGGACAACTGGAAAATAAATTTCTTGAACAAGAACAAACAACTGTACAGGCACTGAGACAGAGTGAGGGGCTGGATGATGTCACCCCCATCAAGAAATCTGGCATTTAAGGTAAGACCAATGCCCAATTTCCTTGATCAGGGTGTGACATCGTCCAGACATGGGACATACCAAAGTTTTGGCAGTCTCAAGGGCGGAATGTCGAAGGGCCTGGGGAGACCCCTGCGAGGTGCACTTGCTATAAAACCCTCCTGCCAAATGACACTTCAGCGGAAGCAAAAACATCTAACTTGTAATGACGTATGAATGGCAAGGGGGTAGACCAGGTGGCCGCCCTGCAGACCTCAAGGGAGGCCTGAGTTGCCCAAGCTGCTGAGGTAGTAGCACTCTAAGTGATCAGTAATGCGACTGGGAACAGGGATCGCCTGGGCCTGATATGCCGAGGCGATGCAAGCCCTGATCCAGCGACCAATAGTTGCAGAAGAGACCTTATACCCTAGGGAACTTGGTAAGAAAGAAACAAATAAGGCCTTAGATCTTCTGAAAGAGGCAGTTCTTTTAATGTAAATTTTCAGAGCCCTGCGCACATCTAAGGTGTGCCACCTTCGCTCCAAGGTATGAGAAGGCTGTGGGCAGAAATTAGGCAGAATGACCTCCTGAGCCCTGTGAAAGAGGGAATTAACTTTAGGGATAAAGGAGGGGGCCAATCTCAGAACAACAGTGTCTGGCCGGAAGATACAGAGATCTTCTCTAATAGAAAGGGCTGCCAGCTCCAATATGTGATGAGCTGGTATTATGGCTAGAAGAAATGCTACTTTAAGGGCGAGCAAACAAAGGTGGAAGGAGCTCGAAGGGAGCCTCAGTTAATGCATTAAGGACTTTGGGCAAATCCCAAATAGGATATCTATGAATTGAGGAGGGCTGTAAAAACCTGGCTCCTTGCAGGAACTTTTTTATCACAGGGTGTTGAGTGAGTGGCTGTCCAGAGGGACTGGACAAGGCCGTAGACAGAGCCGCCACATGTCTCCGAAGGGTGCTATGGGCCAGATCACAGTCAAAGCCATCTTGTAGGAATTCTAAGATCTGGGAAGGTGAGGCTGAGAGAGGGTCGATCTGCTGGGATCTACACCATCTATAAAAGGCTAGCCAGGTGATATTGTAGAGCCTAACTGTGGACCTACGTCTACTGGCTTGAACAGTGTGGGTCACCCTATCCAAATAATTGTCCCACCTTAGAAGGACCCTTTCAAGTGCCAGGCAGTCAGTTGGAGCCACTGAGGTTCCGGATGGAGCAGGGTCCCCTGGCACAGCATAATCTGGTCTGGTGGAATCCTCCAAGGGTGAGATGTGGAGAGACTGACCAGGTCTGCGAACCACGGGCGATGTGGCCAGTGTGGAGCCACAAGGATAATTTCTGCCCTGTTGGTGATGACCTTCCAAATCAGAGCCTGGATCAGTGGCAACGGTGGGAAGGCATAGTGAAGACTGGGTGGCCAGGTGAGACGAAGAGCGTTGACCCCCTCTGCCCCCGGTGTTGGGAACCTTGAGAAGAAGCGAGGAAGCTGGGTGTTCAGGTTCATTGCGAAGAGATCTATGGCTGGAATGCTGAACCTGCTGCATATCTGGTGGAATATGTCAGGATGGATCTGCCACTCGGCACTGTCCACCTGGGTCCTGCTGAGGAAATCTGCTTGTGTGTTTTCCGTCCCCGCTATGTGGTCCGCTCTGATGGAGAGGAGATGTTGCTCAGCCCACGTGCCTAGGCGAAATGATTCCTCCATGAGACGCTTCGAGTGGGTTTCTCCCTGACGACTGACATGTGCCTTCGCCGCCATGTTGTCCGTCAACACCAGAACATGGTGGTTTTGTACGTACCGTTGAAATTGCGTGAGGGCGAGGCGAATCGCCTTCAGCTCTAACCAATTGATAGGGTTGGTTAGGTTGGAAACAGACCAATGGCCCTGAGCTACGTGCGAGGCGAGATGAGCTCCCCAGCCATGTAGGCTGGCGTCTGTAGTGAGTACGAGCTTGTTGTGATCCATGAAGAGGCATCTTTTGTCTAGAGAAGGCGATGTCCACCAATGTAGTGATTGCAAGTGGTGGGCGTGGAGGCGTGCCCAGGGAACAATCTGAACGCAAGAGATCATCTTGCCAAGGAGCTTGGACAAGGTGGCCAAGGGAACTGACGGGCTTTTGTGAATATGAGTCACTAGGTCCCTTATGTCTGACCAGCGTTCCAAGGATAGACGGTTCCCTGCCAGGTATCGATGATGGCGCCAAGATGGACGATCCTGTTGACTGGCACTAACTGGATCTTTTTGTAGTTGGCCAGGAACCTGTGATAGTTCAAGGTTCGAATCGTGAGGTTCAGATAGTGCAAGGCTTGGTCTTGAGAGTGAACCTGAATCAGAATATCGTCCAGGTAAGCCTGGAGCCTTACTGGCTTTTGTCTTAGGTGGGCTGCCACGACCGCCAAGACCTTTGTGAAGACCCTTGGGGCAGATGCCAGCCCGAAGGGAAGAGCCCGGTACTTCATGTGCTTTCCTACATAATTGAAGCGGAGATACTGTCGATGCTTTGGCAGGATGGGAATGTGAAGGTTCCATGAGGTCTATGGAAACTAGAAAATCGTTGGGACGAATCCTCTGAAGAATAGAGGTTAGTGAACACATTTTGAATCTGCAATACACAGTGTAAGAGTTGAGAGACTTTAAGTCCAGAACTGCTCTCCACACACACACCCCAAGACCGCTTCGGAATTACAAACAGGATGGAGTAATATCCCTGTTTCCACTGTTCGTGGGAAACCTCCTCTATGGCGTGTATCTGCAGGAGGTGCTGAACAGCTTGGTCCATCAGTTGGACCCTTGGACTCGCTGTTGGAAGGTGGACATTGAATGAAGCGGGTCGGAGGCTTGGAGAGGAATTCCAGGGGGAGGCCGAATTTCACTACTGAGAGGACCCAGAGGTCTGGTGTTGATCTTTTCCACCTGTCTGCGAAGAGGGCCAGGCAACCTCCGATGGGAGGATTTGGCAGTGAGTCACTTATGACTGCGGGGCTGGCGGTAGCCAGAGCCACAAAAGGGCCGCTTGGACTGCTGGAATTGCCTGTTCCTATTCTGAAAGGATTGACAGTCCGAAGGCCGATTTGATCCCTGAAGGTAACCTTGACCCGAGGGGCTCCCTTGGGAGTAGGAACGAAAGGAAACTCTCCTGTAATAGGGAGAGGACCTTCTGTCAGACCATTTAGATGTTGAAGACAGAACCTTTCGCTTGTCCCGGATCTCAATGAGAAGAGGATCAAGCGACTCACCAAATAACTTTTCTGCTGAATATGGAGCTGCAGCTAAACACCATTTGGCCTTAAGATCTGCAGGCCACTGGCGAAGCCAGAGCATCCTGCGGGCTGATATTTAAAGTCGCATCAGCTGAGAATTGAATGGCAGCAATGATTTTATTAATATCCTGATGGAGGTGAACCTCACTGGGTGGCACCCTTGCTTGTAACTGTTGAAGCCAAAGGATGGTAGTTCTGTTAAAAAAAGAGGCCGATGAAGCTGATTGAACTGCCCATGCTGCAGCTTGATGATTCTTTTTAAAAAGAAATTCCAATTTTTTATCCTCTGGTCGTAGACCTTCAGAGGTATCCCCTGCCACATATGAAGATGAAGAGGAAAGGGCTGCTACAGGACTGTCTACCGGGGGAACTTGTGATAGCTGAGCAAACTTGGGAGCTACAGCATAATATTTCTTGTCTGAACCATGTGCAGAAGCCATGGTTGCAGGCCCAGACCATTGCTTCTTTACCATATCTATGAACAGTTGTGGTGTTGGAACATAACACTGCTCAGGGGGGGCTCAGAAAAAAGTCCCTGTGACCATCCCTGCTGAGCTTCCTGCAATTCCTTAAAATAGTCATCTTCCTTCAAGGCCGCAGTGATGCATGTCTTATGCAGTAAAGACTTGAATTTATTAGGGGGAAATAAGCCTGTAAAGGCAGGTTGATCTTGAATCACCCCTTCATCATCTGATAAATCAGAGTGCCAGTCTTCCTCAAACACAAAGGCTTCACTAGCTTTGGAAGCTGCAGAAGAGTGAGAACCAGTAAGACAAACTGCAGGGGAACCTCTAATTTGAACAGAGTCCTCGGAAATTATAGAGCCAGAGTGATGACCTTGAATGGTAGCTGCCACTCGAGAAGCGATGGCCTGATCAATTAGAATCTTCAATCCTTCTGGCAGATTTTTAAAAGGATCTTCAGGTGTTTGCACAGGCAAAGGGGTTTCTCTTGCAGAGGCTGCTGCCATATGCCCACCAGAATCAGGAGTTGCAGGGGTAATTAATTGACTTGCAAAGGGATTTTGGAAAGTGCCTTGTTCTTGCTGAAGAAGGGCTGCTCCCTCTCCCTCCGATGATCAAGCCTGGCTAACTGCAGGAATAGGGAGGGGGGGTATATGGAGGAGGAGAAACCTCCTTACCGGGTACAGTTGCAACAGCCTTGCTAATTTGCTTCTCTAAGGATTTGTGCTTCCTTTCCAAATCCCTTTCCTCTGCTTTAGAAAGGTGCTTGCATTTGCAAGTTGCTTTCCTTTCTGTGGGCATAGTATCTACCTCCCCTTGGGAAGAACGATCCGCCATCTTTAGTATACTCACTGCGACTATGATGTCGACTGGAGAAGAGTTAGTTTCACTTTCGCCACATGGATTGATAAACAAAGATGGCGACGACTCTGGCATTAAGCTTGATGGCTGCCAGGTCACATGTGAGCAGGATCAACACTGCTCTAGAGGTGACTGTCTAGGAAGCCCTAGAAACAGACCTCTTAAGCGCCTCCACAGTCACGATTCCAAGAACCAATGGCTGGAAATGCCACAGGGAGAGAACAAGGGGGAACGTTGCAACTCTCCTTAAATCTCATTGGTGGTAAGAGAGGAAGGAAAAATGCTTCCAAAACCTCTGCTTTAAACTCGTTGGTGGCAAAAGCGGCAAAACTGGGTTTAAAACTGCCGCGGCACTTCAAAGGGCCGCCGTATAGCTGATCATTAGTGTCGGGAGCTGAGGGCTGCGGCAGCGGCCGTATTTAGCGATCCTGGAGCTGTTGCCAGGTAATCGCTTTAATTCGTTAGTAGTACAGTGGTTTGAGCCCCCTTTATAATTGTTGGTGGTATAGTGCTGAAAAAACCCCACCAAAACGAAAAGGGAAGAAAAAGAAAAATTTCCCTTTAATATGGGGCTTCCAAAATGGCCGCCACCAGGAGTGAAGCAAAGCCTGGTAGACCAGGTCGCTCTAGTAAATAATAGACCGGCAGGCTACAAGAAAATAAATAGCCTGGTAAACCGGTACCTTTGAAAAATTGGAAATAAAAATTCAAAATTAAAAGAAAAAGAAAAGTAAAGAAAAGTAAAAGGTCAAAAAACTCACAAATAGTGTGTGATCGAACAGACCTGGGCTGTAGAGCCAGATCTGCAGGAGATGTTTCTCTCAGGCCGACTGAGTCGAAACTGAACCTGAAAGGGAGGAGCAAGTGGCGTGGTCAAAAAACTATGATTCAGCCAGCAACAGACCCGACTGAAACAATCCATGTCTGGACGATGTCACCCCTGATCAAGGAAATCATTAGTTCTTACCATATTCGTTTCAGTATCTGATGATGGTTCTCAATTGTGAATTTTCATTCATTTATTTAAGAACTTTCAATATAAAATTGTAGAAATACCTTACATTAAATGCTTTATTTTAAAATGACAACTGAAACAATAAAATCTCAATTAAAAAGCAAACAAAATAGTTGGTTTTAGAGCACAGGTCTCCAATCCCCGATCTGCAGACCGCTACTATTCTGCAGCCAGTTGGCAACCAAGTCACACAAGCACAGGTGAGTATGAGAAGCTCCATTTGCGCAAGTGACTTCACGGACACACGAAACCATCCCCTCTCCCCCTGCAGCCACCACTGCCTGTCGATGGAACCAGAAAATTTGGGGACCAATGTTTTAGAGTATTTTTAAAAGTATCACAAATGTTATCACCATTACACATTTTGCAAATATGGGACTGGAGTTACCAATAAGAGAGTCTTGTCTTAAATGCCTCCCAAATTCTGATGTTAATGCTGAGTTAGTACATTCTCAAAAGATGATCTCATAGCATAGATGGTTTGGAGTTGAGCTGATGCCCTTTAAATAGTTTAAGAAGAAATATTTGTCTCATGTCCAAATTACCTATATGCTTCCCTGAAATGTCCAATTATTTTTTATTAGAAAATCAATTTGGAATAAGAACGTATATCGTTTCTCATAACTACACAGAAACATTAATGTGGTTAACACTATTAATATTAAACAAAATTCAGTGTACACTGCACCTTAAAATATAAACAGGGAAATGCTGATTTCCAAATAATAGACAGTCTAAAATTGGGAATGGTAAAATAATACTGGAAAAAAAGAAAGTGAAATATATGTGATTATTCATACAATTAAAATTTTGCTTTAAGTTGCAATTGAGAATTTAAAGAACTCAAAAGCTTTATAAAAGGCTCTGAAAAAATGAAAAAGAAACATGGCATCTAACAGATGGAGAGTTGGCTATTTAGTTCTCATTTCACTTCTTCTTAAATGCAACAGATAGACTTTATAATGGCAGTTAGTATAGTACAAGATACAAGTTACAGTATGTCAGATGATTTGGAATTAAAAACCTATGCCACTAGGGTGCAGCATCCCTCAGGTTTTAATGATTTTTTTTTTTTTTTTGAGCTGAAAGATATACTAATGACACTAGTGGAAGATTTGTCCTTTGGCAGACAATATGCCAATCTTGACTATCGAAGAGCCACATGAGGTTTCACTGATCCTTGCCGGTGTTGAAGGCAGACTGCAGGAAAACCAGGAGATCCGTGGAATTACTGTACTAGTATTGTAAAACTAAAATTTCTTTGTACCCCTTAATACTTTTTCTAGAAAGCTCTCTGGAAATAATAGATGGCATTGCCATCTACTTTCATTTTTATAGTTAGCTTTATTGTAAGAAATTTATGTCAATGAAATAAATCTAAGATTGAATACTTTACAAAATTTCACTTATAAAATTTTAGATCTTAAGCTCAAACGACCACTGTGTACAACACAGCAGAGGTACTGCTGCTAGATTTTTACACAGTGTGTTTATAATTTATATACACTGAATATCCTTAGATCCAAGAACATTAATCATTATTCCTTTGATTAGTATATTCCAATATATAGAAATTGTGATGAAGTCCATCGTAAAATATATGTAGCATTTTTATTCAATAAATTTGTATAGGGGACTGTGGAAACATTTGAACAGTAAGAAAAATCACTACAAGCTTTAGAAAGCTAGAAACATTGGATTTTTTTTCCTGCAAGAAATACTCAAATTGGTATTTGCTTTTCCTGATTAATGAATAAATTCTTTTCTATGCAGGTAGTTGCATCGAGTAGAAACACACAAAACAGGATATATTCCTCCTACTATTCTTGCCCTTGACATTTACTGACCAGAAATACCATAATGTGCCATCTTATTAATAAAAAACAAAACAAATGAGCAAAACTGCCATTCTTGTTGTATTATAAGAATAGAGTAAATGCAATAAAGCTAGACATAAATGAACTACAGGATAACTGCCAGATTCTGAAAAAGGAAACCACTTGAACCTGAGTTTTTAAAAATTGCACAGAAAAACTATTTCGTGCATGACAAATTAACCATATTGATGATTCACATACTATGGTGTAAAGTACAGGAAATGGAAGCCAAAGCCAACAATTGAAAACATTTAATTCAAAATAAAAATATCTAGGAAATAGGTAGGTGTGTGTGTGTGTGTGTGTGTGTGTGTTCGCGCACATACACACACATGTATACATACACACACACCACCTTTATTATTTGTACAAATAATTCAAGACAGCTTGAGTTATTTGTACAAATATATCCAAGCAAAAATATCCAAGACACTTTCCTCTTCCTGTTTTCCCCACAACAACTCAGTGAAGTGGTTTGGGTTGCAAGGAAGTGACTGGCCCAAAATCTCCCAGCTGGCTCTCATGGCTAAGGAGAACTCAATGGTCTCATGCTTTCTAGCTTAGTGCCTTTCTAGCCACTAGCCCAAAGAAAATACTGTTTCCTTTTTGCTGCTTTATAAAAATTAGAAAGCTTTCCAAATGAATCAATCTAGTCTTGACTCAGAACGAATGATGTTTATAAAGAGACAGACATATTTTATCCAATATGTTACTCAATTTAATTATAAATATGCCAAATAAAACTAAAATAATTATACTTTTTGTCTAGAAAACATTGAGAATTTAATGTATTCTAATGTGGAACAGCAAAAAGCAAAGCAAAGTTAGGAAGACTATAAAGGTGGAATTTTTCTTTCTTACACTCCTTTTTTTTTTATGCCATCTTCCCAGATGCCACCTTGCTCTAATCCTATAAGGGAATCCATATGTAAAAGTGAACCACTGCATACATATTGTTTACTTGACCAGAAACCAGAATACTTAATTGAATATACGACCACATTCACAGCATTGTTTCATGTATATTGATACACAGATGAAAACCTGAATGCAGTATAGAATTGATTTGAATTTGAGTTTCTTGATACAACAAATGGTATAAATGAACCAATCTGCAATGGGATACTTAGCTTTATCAGACTAGGTGTTTTGTTTTATTTTATTTATTAAATTTATATGCCACTTATTTCACTATCCAGTGAGTTTGCTAAGACATCAATTATCCTTATGATAATGGTGTAAGGCAAGCAAAGTCTGAATACAGGAGTGTTGTCAGATTTTCTCTTAATACTGCTAGCTCAACAGTAGTGATTTTCTTTCTACTGCAAATGCTCAGACTGTAGAGTTCAGTCTTCATTAGATCTTTGATAAGAAAATGGTGGTACTTTAGCCTTCTCCCCCTCCATTTCCCAAAACCCCTAGGAAAGATGGAGCTAATAGAGAACTGGGAGAAGGAGAAATACTTGATTTCCTACTTGGCCCAGATAGAACAAATAAATGTCATCAACTACCTAGGCAGTCCAGCATAGAAACGTAACTAAATGATTGATTAATTTAGAACTGAAAAAGTAGAAGCAATAAGATTATCATTAAACATTTTTGAAATTATGAAGAATCTCTAAAAATAAGCATAACTTTTAATATTTGTAGGATTCATACTTCAGCAATGCTGGCAGAGAATGCACTTTAAAAATTAAAACTTATTAAAAAGTTAAACAAAGCGGTAAAGTTTGGTGGCCTCTACTCAGACTTTAATACAAAGTCTTGCTGAAGAAAGATTGAGTAAGAAACATCTAATTTTCTCCACTGAAGGATGCACTTGGTTTGATCCCGGGTAAGTTAATTGTATGCAGTTCCTATTGAAAACAATGGAAATTATTTCTGCCTAATCATATTTCACTGCTATCAGTGGGATTTACATGCATCTTATTCCAGATCCAATCATCTTGGAATACCTAGAGTGTAAATAAGTTTAGAAGCAATAATCTGGATTCCTGTGTAACGAGTGAATACTGTACACTTATTAAACAAACAAACAAAAAACAATTAATTGACAAATGACCTTGACAGAAAATGCAAGAAGCTAGTACTTACTCAAAGATTTTTCCTAGCTGATCAACATCAGAGTTACCACGGAAAAGCGGCCTAAAAAAAAAAAAAAAGAAAGCATACACATTTTTAGCACAGTAATTAAAATATACTTTAAGATTACCCATCCAGCTTTCTCCCATGTTTTTCCAATACTAGTTATTTTAGTTTCTTCAATTTCTCACTGCCCCAAAGCAGTGAGAAATTGAACCTCATCCAATGCACCCTGTTCCTAGAGTTCAGTACTGAACTTTTAGACAGCTGCTTTTCAGTCAACTTCTACCACCTGGTGATAGAAAAAAAAAACAGTATGTTCACTGAGGCAGAAAAAAAATCCTTGTTTATTATAACCCCTCTAAAGAAAATGTTTTGAAGGATGGTTTTTTGTTAAAGTCATCTACTTTATAAATTTCTCTGTGACAATACAAATACTTTGGGTTAATACGCAATGCTAATTGCAGACATTGACAATTTGATATTAGTAGATATTAAACCATCCTTTTATTTTTTTTTTAATTGATGGATGTTGGTTACTGAAACCATAGGCACAAAACTTGGGGTTAATTTGAGGAAACTCCCTAAGTTCTGCAGTTAAAAAAGCCCTTGTATTAAATTGGCAATTTTGCAAGACTCATACCAGTTCTTGAAGAATTATTAATCCTGAGCCAGGCATGAATAACAAAGCATTTTCAACAGATTAACTCACTGGAAACCACCTCACAGCATGACAAAATCTAGCAAATATGTTACATAGGAAAGGGAAATTCATGTTTAGCAAAGAAACATTTCTAATCCAAACAACTCTACAGAGCCACAAAAGCAACTCTAGAACTGCCAATACAGCAGCTTCAAATTCTGCTCTGAAAGGCAGATATGGAAACCAAAAGAAATTAACCTCCAAAGTCAAATGTCGGGTAGCTATGTGTCATTCCAAAATTCTGAATGAGAGGACGTTTGGGGAAAATAAAATATCACCAGCTTACTTAGATACCTTGATTAAACATATGCTTGTGATATATAGCTCTGGAATTTTGTTTTTATTTCTTTCAAAGAATGCCAGAACCTATATTATTTGGTATATATAGAATAACTCAGAATCCAAAGGCTAAGAAAACACTTCTCTATAAAAATTTGTAATTCAAAAGTTTATAAAAGTAGTCTTTTACTGAGAAATAACAGTTCTCATTTGCCTTAGAATAGAAGAAGCATGCTGCTAAGCAGCAAGGTCAAACAAGCAGGTTTATTCCACTACCATCCCACCCCAATTAGAAAAAATGTGGGGGTGGGGGAGAAAGAAGGAAGTGACTATGTTAAGAAAAGACATAATATCATTCATGAGTTGATGGAAGTCAGAAGGAATGTAGAAGCCAAGCTGAGACATATAGAGAGAGATAGAAGAATAGAGTGTAGAGTAGAGTAGAGTAGAGTAGAGTAGAGTAGAGTAGAGTAGAGTAGAGTAGAGTAGAGTAGAATAGAATAGAATAGAATAGAATAGAATAGAATAGAATAGAATAGAATAGAATAGAATAGAATAGAATAGAATATGGAAGGGACTTTGGAAGTCTTCTAGTCCACACACACACACAAACACACACACACCATATACACATATACAGGTACACACACACACACACACACATCAGGTATACTGTAACTCTGCAAAGTCTTAGAAGGAAACAATGGATGGAAACTAATCAAGGAAAGCAACCTGGAATTAAGGAGAAACATGCTAACAGTGAGAAAATCAGTGTTTTCTGTTCAGTGGAACAGTTTGTCTTCAGAAGTTGTGGGTGCTTCATAACTAGAGGTTTTCAAGAAGAGACTAGATAGCTATTTGTCTGAAATGATATAAGGTTTCCTGCTTGAACAGGGGGTTGGATTAGAAGACCTCCAAGGTCCCTTCCAGCTTCTATTCTATTCTATTCTATTCTATTCTGTTCTGTTCTGTTCATTTCCTATTCTTTTCTTATTCTATTCTTCCCTTCCCTTCCATTCTATAAGCAGGGTATAACATAAAGGAATGAACCTGAAACTTTCAGTAAACAAAACATGTGGTCTCTACTGAACTGCCAAACTGAACTCCAGACAGGGTTTAAAAAGATCTTTAAAAGATCTTTAGGCTTTAAGCATAAAGATCAAAATAAAAACAAGAGGGGAAAAAAACCAAACTAAAAATAACTTGAGTTGAAATCTGGTCAAAATCTAATCCCTCTTTTCTTTTTTTTTTTAACGGGGGAAATAATAGAATGATTCAGCAGCTGTCTTTTGTCATTTCTGTTTTCTACCTTTGTAATTAAGGATTAACATTGACCAATAGGATCACTTTGACCAATTTTTATTATTAATGCCAAACAGTAAAGATGTGCCAATTAAAGTGATAAAAAATACTGGTCCCAGTAATTAATTTTAATGTGAATTAATTTCAATTGGTAAGGAAATAGAATTTCTTTACAAATTACCAGGAACAGATAAGAGAGGAAAGCCTATTTTAATTCCAAATTACAGAACTACTAAATGAGTATATGGGTAGCTATGTCATTTTGTGGCAATATATTTAATACACACGTGCACATACAAATAGATATTTTCTTGGTGTCAATGTAACATAACGAGACAAAAAACCAAACAAGATTAAGAAAATATTGTATATTTATATAATCCTAAAAGTAGGACAAAGTTTTTTGTGTGTAAATAAATGGCAGCTGAAAATATTATACAATTCTTTTAAAGATGTTATGGTTATAGTCATACAGTCATAATCATACAGTAAAAAGCAAATAAAATCATTCACAGGCTTTTAACAAACAAATCTTTAAGAATAGGATGCATACTAAACTTCACTTACCAACAATAATTGGGCCAGAATTTTCATTGCTTAGCAATGCCGTTGTAAAACACTACAGGTAGGCCTCATTTTACGACCACAATTAAGCCCAAAATTTATGTTGCTAAGTGAGACATTTGTTAAGTGAGTTTTGCCCCATTTTATGAACTTTCTTGCTACAGTTGTTAAGAGAATCATTGCAGTTTTTAAGTTAGTAACATGGTTGTAAAGTGAATCTGGCTTCCCCATTGACTTTGCTTGTCAGAAGGTTCCAAAAGGTAATCACATGACCCTAGGACATTGTGACTGTCAGTTGACAAGTGTTTGAATTTTGATCACATGATCATGGGGATGCAGCAATGGTCATAAGTGTGAAAAACAATTATAAGTCATTTTTTTAGTGCCGCTGTAACTTCAAATGGTCACTAAATGAACTGTTGTAAATCAAGGACTACCTGTATGTTTTGTGTGCCTATATCTCCTAGCAATAGCAATCCCAACAGTCCCTCGTTAAACCAGAATCACAAGTCATTAAGCAAGGATCTCCTGGCAATACTTGCTGGCTTCCAAGAAGCAAAATCAACAAGAAAGCTGGCAGGAAGTTGCAATTTCTGGGCAGTTTGCAAGAAGGCCAGTGGTGGGTAAGTGCTGTGCAGTGGGGCCAATTCAAGGTGTGGCTGTTGCAGTGTGGTGTAAGTGCTGCCAAGTGCTGATGCCTGTTGCAGAGGTGTGAGGGCACGCCACCACATGGCCGCCATGGTGTGAGTAAAGCCAGCTAGGTAGAAGTACTGGGGGCTGGGGAATAACTGCATATGGGCGCTACGGAATATGAAATCCCCAGAATCTTGAACTCTGTAGCTGGGCTCAGAAGAAAAGATGGTAGGAGTAACAGTGAGTTACAGGAGTGACTTGCAACCTTCCCTGCCAGCTTTTTTTTTACTTTGCTTAGGGGAAGCCAGCAAGGAAAGTTGCAAATGGAATTCATGATCATGGGATTCTGCAACTGTCATAAGTTTAAGGTGGTTGACAAATGCCTGGATTTGATTGTGTGACTATATGAGTATTAAACAGCCACAACATTGACAACCAGTTGTAACCATCACTCGTTCAGCGCTATAAAAACTGAATGGTTGCCAAATGAATGGTTGTTAAAAAGGAAAGGACTATCTGTATTGCTGCAGAAAGAATACTCTAAGCGATGTAGGCTGGAATCTTAGGTTTATGGTCCATGGTCCAAGCGATGTGGGCTGGAATCTTAGGTCCATGGCAAAAGAGCAGATTTGCTCTGCAAACATTGTTATACCTTTGTATTGTTATACCTTTCCTCTAATATTTGAAGGAAAGGAAAACAAAGTAAAATAGGCCAAAGAAAGAGCTCTATAGTATGTAGGGAGATAATACTGAATAGGTAACCTGCTGGTGTGAAGAGTTTCATGATTATTTCTGCCAGTGTTGGCTATGTAAATCATCTTATCTTAAGAGCTCCACTAAATACTCACTGCTGGATTGTGGATGTAACTGTTGATACCTCCTCCCCACTCCTTTGGTTAGGACAGGAGTGTCAAACTGGCGGTCCGAGGGCTGGATGTGTCATGCGCAGGCCACGCCCACCTCAGCTCAGCCAAAAAAATATCATTAATATCGCGTGACGGCAATGTGACAATGTGAATTTGACACTTGTGGGTTAGGAGAACATTGTGAGAAGTAATACTGACATAGTTAATTGTGATTTCTAGTTTTCCAGAAAGAAGAAAAAGTATTTAAAAAGATCCAGAACTAGGGAATAATTGAAAAAGTGATACTTGAGCCAAAATTAGAATGAGCCCATGCAGATTCAAGATTCCAGAGGGATCATTTCAGATTTTAAATGGAGTATACCAGTGATGGTTAACCTTTTTGGTGCAGAGTGCCAAAAGCACATGTGCGTCCTCCACGCATGCACCCCAGGGCTCCCCATGCCCTGTTTTGGCTTCCAGGTTGGTGCATGAGGCCTTCCAGGCCCAAAACGGGGCACAGGGCAGCTTGCGCACATGCATAACCCCAAAATGCAATGTGCACGCCCCCATGCATGCAGCACCCCGTGCATTCATGTGCGCATCGCCATATGCGCCCCACCCCTGCGCATGTGTGGCAGAAACCCGAAGACCAGCTGGCCAATGGGAGGCACACACGCATGTGCGGTGGAGCTGGGCTGGGGTGACAGCTGGCGTGCCAGGCAACATGGCTCCATGTG